AGAGGACACAGTGAACGACGTTGAAACATGAAAGCAATTCTATAAACCTACAAACAGAATTCCTACATGCAGTATCCAAGGTAGGGGGAAAGGTATGACACCATGTAAAGTAAGCAGACTCTAACGAAAATCTGCTAAACTGGCACTAAACTACACAAGTGCAAAACTTCTGGTATAACTGGCTCTGACTTGTAGTTTGCATTACCTCTCTTAATGGAATGATTACACTGCACAGGCTGCCATCCTGGCTAGCAAAGCAGATGTAGTTTTCTGAAATGCACATTTTCCCATGGGTGTTGTAATGACTGAAAGGAACCCATAAGAAGCACTCATGAACTTCCTTCACGGTCTCTTCTTTGGGTAGCCTGAAGAATGCACTAAACCGCTCACTGTAGGCACGGCTCTCTAGGCCTCTAGATTAAAAACAAAAGAAAAAACAGGGTACGAGAGAGAAAAGAAAAATTAAATAAGTTTAAAATGTCTTTACAAATACAAAAGTTAAAAATACCTTGTGAAAAGACCATAAAATATCATGTTCTCCCATAATCCATGGGGTCGATCTGGAGGGCTCAATGTTTTGCTTGAAGAGGCAACAAAGGGCAGGACAACACCTATTTATATACACCCACTTAACAAAATACTTAAATGCTTCACTAAACAGGAATAGATTGAAGCATGTTCTTACACAGTAAAGCACTTCGCTGAATCAGGGCCTACAGACAGTGCAGAAAAACATACTAATAGCCTAATCTGCCCCGTTTCCCCACCCATCAGAATAGTCCATTCAAACCTAAAACAAGTTTTGGCTTGACAGAGGGTTAATTAGCTAGAAATGTAGCACATGTTGTAAACATCTGCCATAGGCTAATTCTTCACAGGTAACTGCATCCAGAAACAATGTTTTGGTTGTAGAGCAACATCCCTCTCCAGCATTGCTACCAAACTGAGGTATCAATTACCCAGGAAATACAACCTAAAACAGGTTTTATTATCAGTGTACTATAAAACTAAATGGCTTTTTTTTTCTTAAATCATAGGTGCATGGAGCTTTAAGTAGGAAAAATTATTAGAAAAATGCTTTATCTAATTTCTGATTTGCAGATAGGTAACATTTTCGAACAAAGATTTAGTCCCTTTATGTGAATTTAAATTACCTAACAACAGACTTGCTTTTCCTGGTTACTTTTCAGTAAATAGCTGTGGTCCACAGATCAAAACCTGAACATCTGAGTGAGAATTTGGACAGCTCTCTGAGGAAAAGGCAACATTTGCTTCAACAGAAACCAGAACTGAAGAGAAACTATAAAATTATTACAAGGAATAATCACACACCTTCCTTGAGAAGGAAGGACCTAACCATCAGGTTACTTACATACACATCTTTCCCACCGCCTAAAATACTGTCGTAAATAAGGAAAGCCAAGCACCCATCTGCAACTCATTGATTTTATCACTCATCTCCAGTGGCAGAAAAGCCATGCAGTTATTATTTACACATATTTATTAAATGATTTATTCTCCACCTTATCCTTCCTCATCAGGTCTCTTTGGAGACACTGCAGCTTCATTCTTAATTTTCTAATCCTAAATGCTGCTAGAACGCCTTTTAAAATTTCGAACTACTATCAACCCTATAGCTGAAGACCAGCTCTGAAGGTTTGATCATTTCCAGCCTTCATATAGATTTTGATACTGCAAAGTAACAATAAATTACAATGCCTTGCATTGCTTTGATCACAAATTTTAATGAGACACTTGTTTAAGAGAACACCAGCTTTCCTGACATTTACATGTCTCCTTTTCCCTCTGCCTAAAAAAGTACTGGGCCCAGAGCAGACAGACTCTAAGTAATATATTACCTCTTGGTGATCTGCAGGGGGTCATGAAGGACTAGGTCATTTTCAAATGTCTCCTTGTCAAAAAGTCTCCTAACAGCATAGTTTGCCAGCTGCTCCATGAGAAGGAACGTTTCACTAATGTGCAAAAACATGGAAAAATAGTGTTCTTCCCCATGGGAGCACACATGAATGCTCTCTGTCAGAATCACATTGGAAGTCTTCTCAAGTTTTGATATTTCATCCCAGGAGATAATAAGTTTTACTGAAAATACAAATATGAACAGATGCAAGTAACTTCTCGTTAGCTGCTACCCTCATATTAAAAAAAGAAAAGTAGTAGTCAACAGCACTAATAAAATATAATTAAGCAATATAGTTGAATGATAACACACTTGGAAAGGGCTACAAACTCACAAGCACAAAAAACACTCTCTTCACAATTCCTATAAAATAATTCCATTAGAAAGAATTTTATAGAAAGAAAAATATTAAAGACACACCATGTATGAAAATACAAGCTTTCATCACCTTTTCTTTTCTGTCATGTGAAACTGAAAATTGCAAACAAACATCACCATATAAGCTTTAACAGTTTACCAATAGGGCTTCTTAAAGTAAATCGATCACGTATTGGCATTTAGAGGAACTGTGCCCATTAGCTATGACATTTCCCAATACAAATGAAAACTACCTTAGAAAGGATCCTACTTTCTTTATGCTTTCTAGTTTTCACATACATACAGTTATAGCTTACGCTATTAGAGGCATTTGTTTGGGCATTTCAAACTAATGTTACACAGGAAAAAAAAGATATGTGCAATTATCACCAGTGCGTAGTGCACCCATGTGAAATATTAAGTCTGTGTGTGAAGAAATAACTGTAATCCTCACAGACTGAACTAATATGCAGCATGAACTAAAGATGACACGCAACTTTTAGTTACAGTCAACTGCAACAGGTCTGCCTTCTCTCTGAAGCTTATGTAGAGGAAGAAAAGTAATGGACCTTGTGTAGTGAGTTACACAAACGTGTTCATTTCCATAAACTATTTTATGTTTGCAGTTTTTTCTATTGTGTGTTGACCTCTGCTCACATGGCAAAATAGCTCCCTTAAGACATAGGAAGAATACTTCCAAATCTGAAAAATAAAGAGTAAAATGTGAAGGGACTAGGCTTAGTATCGAGGCTTACTTACTTTCTGCTCCCAGCAAAAATGAGTAAAAACTAAGGAAGTTGGTACTAAGATAAAGCCATCCTTGACAGGGCACTCTGCCCTTCCAATAACTGCATGAGTAATAGGTAACCAACTTCTCCTGCTCCGGTAATCCAAAGCACTTTTCAAACTTCATAAGACCTTCACGAAACTTCTCAGGATCATCTTCTTTTACAAAAGAACCTTTTCCCTCCTCGGCAATCAAACCCTAAAACAAAAGAACCAGTTACTTTATATATGCATCCATGTGGGTGGGTGTCATATATGCACCTGCATACAGACAGCGTAGCATTCTCCTAACAGGATAGTAAGTTTTAGAACAGGAAGAATAGTATGAGGATCAAAACACAGTCACAAATCAAATGTGCTATTTCAAACTCATGCACCAAGTTTCCCACACAACTTAGGCAAGACACACATTCCCAGGTCTCCTCTTCTGAAACAGGTATGTTTTCCTCACTTAATCACAAGAATTCCCGGGCTAAATATTTAGCGTATATAAAGTGAACTGTTGCACTTTCTCAAAAACATACCATATACTTTCTAGGCATTATTAAAATTATTGTGAAATAATTTATCAACAGTTTTAGACGACTATCTAAAGGCACCTGGTGTATCATTTATCAAGAAGAGTTTATGTCAAACAACCTTACTTAAGTGTGGGGCAGATAAACAGGAACAATGGAGTGTGTTGAAGTTAACAGCCACATACTACTCAATCAGAAGTATGTAGCATTACGATGCTGTCCTTTGATATTCTAAAGAGGACATATTATTTGTGTATGTTTAGAGGAAAAAAAATACTTAGCCTTTCACAATTATGTCACATGCCTGTTACTTACTCTTATCTTTCCCTGGACAAAGCTCGTAATATCTTCATTTGAATCAAATACTGATAAAGTCTTCATAACATTGTGTTCTAACCAGTCCCAGTGTTCTGTTATTTCTTCTCTGCTGGATCCTGATTGGAAGACAAAATTAGTATTACTTAAAATTAGAACAGACTTTAATCATTCCACTGAAAATCTTAATCAAGAGAATACTTAGCAAATTCCTGATTCACCGAGTAATTTAGATACACAAGTCCAAATCACAAGTCTCAAATTTATTGTCCAACTTTTGTGTACACTAAAAACGTATTTGGTGTATATTAAAAATGTGCATTGCTGTGTTTTTATCTTTCAAGCCCTTTATGCAGCTATATTTCCAGCCTTTACATCCAGAAGCATCTCAGCTTTGTCAATATTGTGGGGCTCAGTGCTGAAGCCTGACTTGGACTGACAGTTCCTTCAGCTCAGCAGTACCTCCCCAACATGGATGGCAGAGCATCACTAGGACTCTCCCAGTGTAATAGTCTAGAAGGTGGGAAATGTGAGATCAAATTCATAATACTAAGAAGAAAATGAAATCTGGGCCTTTGATATCCTCAGCTGTGATCACTGGCCCACAAGAGTTTCCAGAGTAGAACTCCAAGACTTAGACCTGCTGTGCAAAACCCCTTCTAACATGTGTAAGAATGTAAAGAATACATCACCGTAACCAGGAAGGTATCAAAGATTTCTCTTTGGATACTTGAAACAACCATTTATGCTGCTTACAGTCAATCAATTGCTACTTACTTGTGTTCAGTATAGGTCATGGTTTTATCTCATTCTCTATCAAGTCACATTTTAACTGTATTTCTGACCTAAGCTAAACTGTGTATTTCTAGCCTAAGCTAAAGCTTAGGCACCATTCAGGAAACAATGTCATCCTACCTACAATAAAGTTCTGCTTATGCTGTAATTCCAAACAACACATTGTTTTCATGCAGTTGCAGGCTTCTACAAAAGGAAAGAAGCACAGCTGCACCCCATACGGAAGACATATATCAGAACTAACTCCTGATGCAGGAAAAAAAGGCTGACTGATTCATACAAGCTGAATGATCCTTGAAAACGTTCCGCACCACCAGAATTAGTATTTTTTTCTTCTGGACCCTCTAGGACTCAAACACACGGGAATAAGGATTGTTTTCTTTCCTTTCATTACATATGTGCAAGAGGAGGAGTAACTTAAAAAACCTGTTATGAGTAACCATAAGGAACGTAGAAACCATAGAGCCAAGATACAATTCAATGTTTCAGAAATATAAATACTGCATTTTCAAACACCTTAAGAGAAGCCAACCTTCTTACTTTATTTACTTTACACTGTTTTTTAACCTAGGTTTCAGAGAGCTATCACCTACTATATGGTGAACATCACTGCAACTTTATAGCAAAGAAAAACCTATCTCACCTGAACTTTCCAGAAATACATTTAAGATTATTGGTTTACTTTAAATACAAAGGAACACTCTTACCCACTAGCTACTTTTATAATTAGAGAAATGTGGTAGGCCAACTTCAAAATGCTTATGATAATTCATCTTATTCTTTTCACATACTCAATTAAACATTATGTAAGTGGTAACAGGTAATAAGCAGAGATGATACTAGTGAACAACAGTAGAGGTCCAGCAAATTCAATACTGAGTCAGTTCTTTAAAGACAGGTGGCTCCCCATCAGATGGTGAGAGAGGGAAAGAATTTACATAGGTTTGAATAAAGGGATTCTAGAATATAAATTAATTGGCAGTTTCATCCTCCACAGGAATGCTCACAAATAAAATCAGTCAGTGTGATCACATGCTATCAATACCCCTAAGCAAGAACACACCTGTAACAATTTCTTTTTTCTCAATTTACTTTGTAAAGACTAATTAAACAACTTTCCACAGAATTAGTTAAAGTTGCCTTGGGAATGAATAGAAATTGTTCTAAATATGGTTAGTCAGACTGCACTACACAGGGTGGATTTGCAACAACACTTTAAAAAATTATATGAAGAGTAATTAACATAGCAATTAAATTGCAAACTAATTATTTTTTTCAGACTACACATGTAGACCAATTATTTGAGTCACAGTGTGAATCAGAGGCACAGATGTGACACAGTAAAGATGAAACTTTTTAATAAATATTTAAATTATTTAGGAGCACTGTTTCAGATCCTAAATATGTAATAGCAGGAACAAAATGTAGTCTCTTCAATTTCTTCACTTCACAGAAGGAACAATCTGTTTTCTTCACAGCACAGAATCGATATAAATTCAGTCCTAAGGTGAAGACTACCCTTCCTATTTTCCCAAGGGCTGACCTGATGGCATTCGAATTCCCCAGAGTGTATTTCCAACATACTTACCAAAGTACCTTTTTGATAGCCTGTCACCATCAGTTCTGAATTCTTCAGAAGTAGTCCTAAAATTTTATTTACTGCCAATTCACAGACTGTTCAAATTCTATCAACTTTATAAGGCTGCCCTTCTAAAGTGACATGTAATGAATTACATTAAATTGTTATTCAACAGTTCTTTCACTGACTACTGCCCTTCAGAGAAGTCCTTGCAAAACGTGAACATGAGCAGATGAGCATTACAGCACATGTAAAAGAATAAATCTGTATTTTGGAAGTAGCTAACTGTATAGCAAAGACAGCAAGAGGCACAATTTTTCATTTAAGGTGAAGCAATGAAGATTCATAATAAAGCAAAATCCAACGTAACAACAACATAGCACTTACTAGTGGAATTACTCACGCATGTAAGTGTTTGCAGAATGGTAGATTTCCTGCAAAGCTTATCTTTTGCCACAGGCAACTAAAAGGAAGGCCTAGAGCCCAGAAAAGTCTAGATAGAGTCTTGTTTCTTTAAAGAATACTACTAATTAAAAAAAATTAAAGCATGGAAAAATGAACTAAATTATATTGTTCTTTTTCACTGTAATTATAGATGTTTTCAGAGTTTTCAATAAGCCTAAGAAATAGATTAATTCCACAACAGTGATTTTTTAGCATTAGACCACATGAAAATATTAATTAATTTCAATATAAAGACAAGACCATGCCTCAGAAGAAAAACCAATGATGCATGTAAAGAATAAAACAGTCCTCTCAACTTTTGGAATGGAGGTCTCTTTGGACACCCAGTAGTTAAGCAGCCTGTATAAAGGAATTAAGACTTGATTTTCAGGTGAAGCTGCAAAACTTAAAATAAAAATAAAAAAAACCCACCACAACAAAATAAACCCATGCACGCTATCAAAAAGCATGCCCTAGTAAAAATCACATACTCTACTGTCAAGGTCAATTTTCTTTTCCATTTCCTACTGATTAATAATGCAACATGAGAAAGAGAAAGAACTTACACTACGAGAGCAACAGATACGAGGAAGAATTCAGCTCTGACCATGACTGGGAATCTGGCTCATTTTAACAAGCAAAGATAAAGTAGGGAAAAACATTAGGATAAGCAGCTCCGGTTATTCCTACCTACCGCACACTTAGTACTCCCAAGGGTCAACTTATCCCTATCATCCTGAACTGTGCCAAGTTACACTTGCAGCTTACAGAAGAAAAGATTGTGCCTCTGTTATTCTAAGAGAGCACCAAGGCCTTAGTATCTGACGGAATGCTGCAGAAAGCAGTCAATGGGCAGTTGTAATATGAAGAGTCCATAGATATATTCTGAAAAACTGGAACCACACGCTACTGTCAATCACAGGTTGCAAATAATTTAAAACCATTTAGAGGTCACGGGAATGAATAATGATGTGAGAGGATTAACCCAAAAATGGATCCCGTACTTTGTACCCTTATTTTTCACTTTATAAACTCAGTTAGCTTCTAAATCATAGTACATACCACATGCAATGGACCAGTAAACTTGAGAGTCTGGTGTCTGATGCAGGATGCGAAATGGGGCGACTTTCGATGTAGAATCCAACACCGCATCTAATGTTCCCACGAGAAGACCTGTTGCATTTAAGAAAATGTATACAGCACAGTTAAACTAAGGTTTTGAAATGTACACTCACTTCTGATTCCTTTCTTAATGAATAGGAATGCTACCCAAGTAAGGACTAATGAACTCTGAGAAAATAAGAAGCACAAATGAGTAAAGCAAAAAGTGCTCCCAGAGGAAGCTCTCTGGGAGGTAAAAGCCATTATAAACACAAAATGAGGGTGAAGAAGTTTTTTGAGATGACCCCCTTGGAATCGATAGCCATGTAGTATGGTAAACCAGAGGACAACCTGAAAAGTAATATGGTAGCTCCCAGCCTTCAATGAGCACAAGTAGTAGCTGAATTACCTCTTTATTAGTCATTGTTAGTTGTTCTGTTTTCCAGTCACAGGAAACAGCTCTTAGGAGACTGTAATTCCATTATGTCCGATCTTTATGAAAATCCCACCATTTTTACATGAGAACACCTATCATACTTTCTGTACATACAAAAGTTTTGCTGTTCACACCACACTATAGCTAGAAAATGCCTGCAATTCTTCATAAAGTCTATGAGATGACTCCTACCTAAAGTATGGAACACTAATATTTCATCCTACCATCACATGCATAAGTATATTACATAAAGTGCCACATTCCCATATAGATTATACACCCAAGATACAATGGCCATGTCACCTCCCTGCCACTAAATATTGAATTAGCTCCTATTATACAGAGTTCAGATCAAAACTTACTAATTTCATTAATGAGACATACTTCATCTCTCCGTAACCGGGAGCAAAAAGTTTCCCAAGAAAATGAGTATGCATTTTATCTTGGCTGCCAAAATCATTCTTTCTGCACAGTAATAAAAATATTAGCCCAGATATCTTAAAGGTTCCTTTCAAATCTAAGAATTCTGGAATTCTAAAAGAGAAAAATCCTTGCAGAAAAAATACAAGCTTTTGGATCCTGGTGCACAAGTAGAACTTTTTCTTCTTGCTACAACAGAAACAAAAGTACAAGCAACAAAATGCTTCCTTCCTATATTTTCTATGCTTGCCATCGTTCTAGCATGGCCACATAAATGGAAAGTTCAAGTAAAGCAAAGCTACCAAAGCAATCACACAAAGCTTTTATTCTCCTACAGAACTGCAAAATAAGAGATGAGATTAGCCAAAAAAATATGAGAGATGTAATTACTCAAAGAGATGCTGTAAAGTCTGTTCCACAAACCTGCTGAGATCATGGACGTAGGGCATTCCCAAAAAAAATGCTATTAGGGTAGAGAGCTTGTATGCAAAGTTAATATATCCCTTATAACACCTCTACGTACCCTTCCATGTTTAATGGAAAATGATCTTTTTATTCAGGTTTTTAATATTCCACAGAAGCATTAGATTGAGATAATTTAAAATACATCCCCCAGAAGTTATTGCAGAATTTTTGGGTTGGCTTCTGGTACTTTTTGTTCCACTTTCTTTCCATTAACCCCCCCCTCAAATTCTGAAAAATAACAACTGTGAGAGAATACAAGACAGCAAAGTAAGGCAAAATTGAGGAGTCTAGAATCATCCTCAGAACATGGTTTTCCTAAGGATACACTTTCAGCATACAGCCTGTGTGACTACCTTACTGTGTGACTATCTTACTGTGTGACTACCTTACTGTGTGACTACCTTACTGTGGCTATTCAAGTTTCAGAATGCTTTTGCTTCTCTTAAAAAAAATGGAAGTGAATAATAATGAAAAACACAAAAAACCCCCGAAGACCAGTTACACCACATCCATCAAAAATACTACCTTGTCTTGTCTGCAATTCATAGATTGTAAGTTACTGTTGGAAAGTAGAATTTTTTTGCAGTTTCTAACTGAAGTCAGACATTGAATAGATAACATTTATGTCTGTTTAAAGAGCTTTGGCTTACTGAATGAGCCATAACACTGAGCTGATCTCAAAGCTGGCTTTGCTTCAGCAAGTGTTTTATTATTTCATTCACAATTCTCCTAATATCATTTTCTGTTATGATATAAAGTACAAGGACATTAGTCACCATTTATAAGGTTAACACAACTGCTCAGCTTGACAAAATGATTACAACAGTGCACTTAGAAAGCAGCGCTCCTCAAAATGCCGTGAGTTTCCGTCTACTTGGAAGGTCATTAGATTTTAGACACAAACTGCATCAGGATAGTATCAGTCACTAGATATCACTAGTATCTCCCACTAGTCAATACAGTTTTGTCCACAAATGTGATATAGACTACAGGTTTGCGCTTAAGCTGATAAATACTCAGTACATTACGAACTAATTCCACGGCTATGGCCACTGGCATAATTGCGAGGAATTAGCAGAGTCTCACCTTCTTACCCTAGTTCTGAAAGTGCTCTTTGAGCTGCGAATTTTTTGAATACTGTATTATCAGTCAGGGTTTCCATAACTACAAGTTGTTGGGTGCTTCTCAGCAAGCGCTCCCTTTTATTGCTATTTCCCAATGGGAAATCAAGAACCATGTTCACCCAGGCAAGTAAGACCACTGCTGAGCAGTTTGCTGGCACTCTGCTAACTCCATTCACACAAGCCTACTGAAGAATGATTCACTTCCAGGGTTGCAGAGATTTAAAATTCACCTGTATAATGACAAGGATATTAATTGTAAAATAAAGGAGTAGGTAACAAAAGAATCAGTAACTGCTCAGCCCAGACACTAGCACTATCTCTGTAAGGCAGGCAAGGGGAAAAAGCAGCGCAGGCCATACTTGTCAATCCCTCGCTAATGAAATGTGGTATGTGTTGCTCTCAAACAACCAATTTTAGGGACAACTTACAGAAGGTCATCTACTTTCATCTCTGCTCAAAGCCAGACCCCACAGTTTCTACTGGGGATTCCACCTAAATCATTCTCTTGCCTCACTCGGGGAATGACTTCAGCTGTAGATACGGAAGGTGATGCACATTTACACGGAGAAAGGGCTCTGCTTTTAGAAAACATTTTCAGTTTCACAGCTACTTGAGTAAAACTACTGGGAAATACCCTAGGTATTTAAATAAATAGGGTAAAATACCCTAGAAAATAAAATAAAGGGCAAGGAATCCAGAATAGCTTTGAAATAAGGATGTGTTCTTCCCAAAAGTCTCTAAAACACTTGGTTAGCAAAATATCAACATCAGCTGCAGAGACATGCACCAAAACATATCAGCAATGAATTTTGCTTTGTTGTACCAATTTACAGCAATAAAGCCAGTATGTTACATGAAAATAACTGCCCAGCATTTTGCCATTTGAGGGCAACACCACTTTGTTGTTCTATATTTATTTCACAAAGTACATCAAGAAAGCACTAATATTTGGTCTTTTTTTTGGTCCTTTTCAACACACAATCGCAAAGATTTTTTTTTCCCCTGGAATAGCTGTCAGTTACATCTTTTTTACTGCTGCCAATCTTCTTGATTTTAAATATCTGTATCATACCCAGCAATCTGACTACTTCCTATCCTTTGTGGCACTAGTGTAATGCAAACAGAATAATGTAAGTTCCATTTTACCGATGAAGAATCGGAAGCAAAGAAAACATGCTGTTGTCTTTTTTCAAAAGAGCACTATTGTCCTGAAGCAAAGTTAGCACAAGCCTGTTCTCTCCTCTAATGCATAACAGTACCTTTGAGGTCAATAATTAATTATATTAAAACTGGATCAGACAGCCTCCTGATTTGCTACATTAGAAGTGTTAAGGGACATAAAATATTTATAAGACTGTAAGAGTTCCTCACAAACAGAAATGTTCTATTACCACACCACCGGTCAGCCCCATTACACTAAGGATTTTGAAAAGTAGACACTTTGATGTACAATTGAGTTCTCGCTCTTAGTTTATTTACATCATCACAAAAAGGAGCTGTTTGAAAAGACTGTAAAAGCTTTCCCTGAGTGGCAACAACTGCAGAAAGTGATATTCTGCAGCTACAGTCAGCTTCATTTTGGCAATAACTGCTCACTTCTACAATCTGAAGAATTCAAAGACTGATCAGAGCAGAACCAAAGTGGAAAAAATACTGTAAAACAAGTAAGTTTGTGATAGATAGCTCTGGTGGGTTGACCTTGGCCGGACACAAGGTACTCACCAAACCGCTCTACCACTCCCCCTCCTCAGCTGGACAGGGGGAGAAAAAATATGATGAAAGGCTTGCGGGTCGAGATGAGGACAGGGAGATCACTCAGCAATTACTGTCACGGGCAAAACACACTTATCTCGGGGAAATTAATTTAATTTATTGCCAATCAAATCAGAGTAGGGTAATGAGAAATAAAAATAAATCTTAAAACACCTTCCCCCACCCCTCCCTTCCTCCTGGGCTCAACTTCACTCCTGATTTTCTGTACCTCCTGCCCCCCTCAGCGGCACAGGAGGATGGGGAATGGGGGTTGCGGTCAGTTCATCACACGTGGTCTCTCCTTCCTCCTCATGCTCTTCCCCTCCTCCAGCGTGGG